ATCCACAATTCCTGAATAAGAAAATTCCTTGGCATAATGATGTAAAACAACTTGGTAAAATTTCTCGTTATCATGATAATCATTTAATACAAATTTGCTTTAATAGGTATAGATGATTTATGATGTTATTTGGTAATATATGTTATAAACAAAATTTTAAAAGTTAAAATTTTAATAAAGAAATTGCTTTAAAATATTACATTATTTTTTTTTTATTATTGATTATTATTTTATTTATATGTTCAAGTTTGATAGCATATAGAAATATTCTCAGTAAAATCAAGTCATAAGATATAGTAATTATATGATTTATAATGTAATTTTACTGATAATACTTCTATATAGTAAAACCTACTTTTTGTATAAATCTAGTATATAAAAGATTATACAAATAGGAATAAAAATACAGTTATCTTAGAATCATTAATTAATAATTATAAATAAAAATTTTAATACCATTTATTATTTATTAATTTATTAATTTTAATATAATTTTTTAATTTTTTAATTTAAATTATAATAATAAATATTTAATTAAATATTTAAAAATTTATATAAAAATTTTATAAAAAGCTTTTATAAAAAATGCTTTTTATCTATATTTATCTCAAGTTTAAAAGCAAAGCAAAAAACTATATATGATCTTCCTATATATCCCATTATCTTAATAATCAGTAATTCAATTTTAATGATAATTATATCATTATATTCGTCTAACTAAGAGGAATCTAACGGTAGTAATTTCATCTTTCTAGCATTAATATTGACCGAGTTATATCATACAATATAATTTTAATTGCGTGTTCATACTACATTTGTGAGTTCTATTAGTATAGTTCGGGTTCTTATATAATATCTACCATTGATCTAATCCTTATAGGTACCCTTTGCAGACGATGTGTCACTTGTCTATTACAGACCAGCCTCTTGATATAGGTTCTAAACTCAATTGGTTTACTATGTTTCAAGTTACTTACCACTATTACTTGTTGTTAAGATGGTGTGTAAACGAAGCGACCTTTACAGCTTATGTCATGGAAGTTATCATTCTTCATGTAAATAACTATCAAATAGTCATCTTATTCTACAAATTTGTGATCTTCAATGTACATGGATTGTACATCACTTATAAAATTCATTTTCAGAATTAAACTGATAAATCTTATAGTAAATTAATACTATAATCTACCTTGGCCAGGGGCTGAACTAGGATCTATTGCAATGTAACCTACAATAGGATTTCAGTTATTATAGGGCTGCCAGTCCCTTTGTCGAAATTATTTTTTTTTATGTTTTAACAATGCGGTACTGTCAGTACATTTTATTAATTTATACAAAAATACAATAATAGTAAAATCAAAAACTAACAAACAAATGACTAACTTCCCCCTGTAACTATATTAACCCGATCATCTACACTAAAGAATTTACAAAAAGAAGCAACATAAGAGGACTCTACTAAGTTCCTAGCTAAGTTGTCCAATCAATTCCAGATTACAGCAACCACCTGGCATAGATGCGCTCATATCACTAAATTCCAATAGATGCTCTTTGGACTATCGCTTCCAATGCTAAGATATCTGTCAATTTAGATTACAGCTGACCTCTAACACAGGATGAGACCCAAATCATACAGTCAGTCAAGTCCAGAAAATACTGCATGAGATTTCGCAGTCTTCAACGTCAGAGATCTGCAAAAAAAGAGTGTTGCTATTATGAAAGAATAGGGATGTCATCACGCAGATTTGTGTATCCAAAGTATATTGATCGTGATCGTCAGTTGGGATATCCCTTGATGCTCACTTTTGTAAGCCAATAATTTTGAAAAAAAAAAAAATAAGAAAAAATATACCGAAGAGAGGTGAAGAAAAAATATTTTTAAAAAAAATCACAGTTTAGACTTCAACGGCAATTTTTATATGGATAGGGTTTAGGGAAATAAAGAGAGGAAAGGTTTTGAAAAGAGGGGTTTTTTATTTTGTTTGTAAGCTAAGCTGTGGCCGCCTTTGAACAGGCACTTTTTTAAAGTAAAAATTCTTGGATAAAATCCAATGAGAAAGAGAGAGAGTTTTTTTGGTTCTTGTCGAAATCATTTCGACTATTGGATGTGAAAAGTCAAAATGGTCAAAATGACATTATATCACATGATTTTTTATATATAAAAAAACAAAAAAATACAAAAAATATATAATCTCGATTAATATCGCTCTGATTCGTATGATTTCTCATGATTAGGCAAATCTAATAAGTTAACATATATTGATTTTGGATTATTCAATCTCAAGATAATCACAATTCTACTTTAAATAAAGAAGTCTGAATTTCAAAATTCAATTGCAAATATCTTGAGATGACTGATCTAAAATCAATGAATGTTAGCTTATTGGATTCGATTAGTCGTAAGGAATCAAATGGTAGTTGTTTTATACAAATTAAAGCGATATTGACTGAAATCATATATCTTTTATTTTTTTGTTTTTTCTATATATAAAAAATCATGTGATATGATGTCATTTCAACCATTTCGATTTTTGGGTTTTCATTTTGACTTTATGTATAAGTATAACTATTATATCCCATTTCATATAAGGTATTTTTTTAATATTTTTACATATTACTTTTCCTGTTAATTTAGCAAAAGTTTTTACTATTTTATCTACCAATACATAATAGTTTTGAGTAATAATAGTCTTAAGATAACATTTATTACATTCTATTAATATTTTGGATGTTTACTTTGTAAAGCAATACTAATAGCATCCATTTTGTTATATTTTGATAATATTATGAATTGTAGTTTTATTATAACCTGTTTTTTAGAAATAACTTTTTTTGATTTATCAGTTTTATGGAAACTAATTATCATTTTGAGTTCAAAATTTGTAAGCTCTCTTATTTTAACCATTAAGTAAAAAATAAAAATTAAAATCAAAAAGCAAGTTCTGTATAATAATTATTATTTATATGATACAAATTTTAGATTACATTAATCCATTGATATTTATTTACCACAATTTATTTGCAAATCTTAGGATGGTCTTAAACTTCTCTAATATTATTCTAAAACTTTTTATCTCATATGATATGCATAATTTATTATATTATATTATACCTTTCTATTTATATATTCTTAGGATAAAGTATTTTTTACTGCTAAAAAATTTTGGTTCATTCCTTTAAATAGGATATGTGATATACAGAGAGATATATTATAATAGTTTCTAGGTTTATCTTAAAAAATAAATATTTTACCTTCTATTGATTTTTGGCCGGCATTATAAAACTTGGCCGAAATTAACAATTTGAAAATAGGTGACTAGCATAGAAAAATTTCTAAGTTCCCAGAATAAATTATTAAGGAAACTATTTGCTCTATTTATAGCTGCTTGAAATCTGATCGTTGATAATTAAATGTAACAAAAACTTTGCATTTTATACTTCTTTTCAAGTAATAATGACTGAAGTTTTAAATTCTTCAGTTCGTCAACGTTTAGAACCTTACCTTTTGCTTTCTAAATCTGCAAAAGGCGGTGCATGTGTACAATTAATCAAAGATGCACTGGCTGCGCCAGGTGTTTATGTGTTTGCTGAATTGCTAAGCATGCCAAATGTTGCTGAGGTATGCCGCTTAAAGCTATAATACATCGTTTGTTTTTGAAAAAAAATTTTATTTTATTTTATTTTTTTTTTTTTTGTTAGACTTTTATTTAACGTAAAGAAACTACAAAAGAGCTAATTATTATTTTTAATTACGTTTTTATCTAGCTTCAAAAGAATGAGCAACACGTTTCATACCACACATTATTAAGATTATTTTCTTATGGCACATACAAAGATTATAAAGGTAACGTTATTATTAATGATTCTTATAATATATCGATTTAATTATGATCTGTCTTTTTAGAACATGTATCAACGTTGCCACCACTAGATGCCACACAACTGAATAAATTGAAACATTTATCTATCGTTTCCTTATCTGAAGAATCAAGAGTTTGTATAAAGAGCTAATTATCGTTATTATAAGATTGAATCTAATTGTACTAATCTTTTTAAAAATATATATATATAATAGACAATTCCGTACGATATACTTTTACATTACCTTGATATACCAAATGTTCGTGAACTTGAAGATTTAATTATTGAGGCAGTCTATCAGGATGTTATCAAAGGCAAATTAGATCAAAAAAGGAAACAGCTTGAAATCGAGTATACAATGGGTAGAGATTTACGACCTGGACAAATCGATCAAATGTTGGAAGTATTAAGCGTTTGGTATGTATCATTGTCGTTATTTTCTTACATAATTATCATGGTTATGTTTCAATTCGTCTTATTTTCTGTTAAGGTCCCAAACTTCAGAGGAAATTCTAAAAGTTACAGACGCCAAGATTACACAAGTTCGTGATACTGCTATTGAGAACAAAAAACAAAGAGAGGATTATGAAAAAGAAGTAGAACGACTTCGCAAAGAAGTCAAATCCAATTCAAAGAATACTGACCATATGGAAATTATGGCTGGAGGAGTTGATCAATACGCTAGCTTGGAATATCATGACGAGAATACAAAGGGTGGTAGAACAGGAAAGAGGTATGATATCATTTCAAAATTTTACTCAGTTGTTGATTGGAGTCGTTCGGTTCTTTATTCGGTCAAAGGCCGATATTGGGGCTTGATTTTTTATAAATAGTTTTATTTGATACCAAATCATTTCTCGGCAAATGATTTTTTATATACTCGTTCCAAAAAATGACGCTAAATGCGTGAACAGCAGGAAGCGTAATCGACGACATTGAAACCAAGAAACGTTTCCATTTGTCAATTTTTTTCTTTTAATATCACTGTCTTTCATCTAGGGGCTCAAAAAGATCGTTCTTGTCTGGCCGAAAATGAAAACCAGTCAAAAGAGCGAATGTGGCGAGATTCTACTCAGAATAAAGAAATTTTCGCCTAATTAGCTTTCTTTTGTCAATTTCCAAATTTCACACTCATAAACATCATTTGCCTTCTCCGTTTCGTTAAATCATATGAATCGAAGATATTAACAAAAAATTATATAGTAACAAAGCGATAGATAATCGTAATTTTTAAGCATATTTGTTCACGTAAAAACAAAAAAAAAAAAGGACAATTTTTTTAATCTAATTGAAAAAAGTAGACGATGTCGAATAAAATGTCTACTTTTTAAATTATTTTTCAATCAGTTACAACTGAATCGGCTCGATTTATTTTAGAATGAAAAATCAAGTTTGTTCACCCGTTCCACAATAATCCGGACATCAATAGACATTGCCCACATGATTCAAATTTTCAAGTTTCAGGTATAAGCCTTATTTGAATTATAAGTAGTGTTTTCCTTTTCTTATAATTTTTTCTTTTTTAAATGGATTAATTTAAAATGTCTGGGAGATAGAATAACGCAGAATTATCATGTGTGACGAAAAGATCCAAATTTTGTGTAATATAATCGTAAAATATGGATATTAAAACTTAAACCCATCTTGAGTGTGTGAATTTCCTAATTTGCTTTTAAGGGTTACATATTTTTTATGCCCAAAATTTGGTGGAAAACTGGCAATTACTCCGAAAGCCAAGTGGAATGAAATCTTCGACAGCTCTAGTTTCCTATACGATCTTATGACAGGAGTCACCTGGACGAATACTTTTTTCAAAACGACAATCTTAATGTGAAGGGCTTCAGGAATGGGAAAAGAAACCGTTTGTGTTGAATTTCCTTCGTCATTTTACGAGAAAACCATCAATGTAATTGCGAGGGTTTTAAGTGGTGTGTTTATTCACCTGTTTATTCCTGCTGACATTGTTTTTATTGGAGCGATAAGTGAGTGTTTTATTTTTTTTTATTGTTGACTAAAACCACCTATTAAAAACCTCGAGAGCGTGGCAGTTGTGATGGAATGTTATGAATGTTTTAACCTTGTTCATTTGTTGAAATGCTCAATCTGAGTCAAACCTTAAGAATAAAGTAGAGAATTATTGGTTCCTTCCAAATAGAGCTCGCGACGTAATTTCCATTAAGTGGTTCCAACGGAGATAATAGATATGTATGGACAGATGATGAATTGAATGCCTAATCGAAAAAAGAAATAATGGAAATAATGATTTTATTACAAATATGGTCGTAACAATAACTGATGACAGGAAGGTTTAATTTGTGAACAATTCCTTCGGCACCATTTGAAATTATTCTTTTATGGCTTGGCATTATTGTGTAGAAAGTCGAATTGCTTCAACATACTTTTTGAGCACAGAATCAAATATATTTAGTATATGAAATTGCCTAATTCGATCTTCCATGTCCAGTATTTTATTTTCGAAATCCCCGTTGCCGAAAAACATCGAAAAATGACGAACTTTCATGAACAAGATGAAATTTCCAAATTTGGATTTTTCAAAAATTTGTATAGCATCTCATAATTGTAAAGATTATTTTCTCTACCAGAATTTAATAAACTGTATTAAAATATCTTGGCTGTTTCTGATATAACGAAAGATTTTGCGCTTTCTTACGAAAATTGAGGTAAAAAATTACCAATAATATTATAATATATATTACAAAATAATGGATTATGATAGAAAACTATGAAAGCTTATTTACCTTATGGATCTAAATTATTATTAATTATTTTATATTCAGATGTTACAACCACTGACACATTAGAAAAAAGTCAATTACATCATCCAATACATATATATATATATATCAATTGGTAAATATTCTAACATGATGTCATAAAAATCACAACTTTTAAGATATTTACCTAGTAGAATTTTTTCTTGATAAACAAACATCTGGCTTGTAAAATCTTTCATAATCCTTAAAATACTTATTAAAATTGATTTATTTAATGAATGATATAAAACTTAAAGTAAATAATGAAACCATTTGGTTGTGCTTATGCATTTTTATAATTATTACAAATTGGTTAGAAGTAGCAACTTTTTGTTTAACTTACAAGTCTACCAATTTGAATTTTTCTTGTTATTCTTATTTGATAATAAAGAATAATCTTGCAAAATTAAATTTATTGACTGAAATCTCATGAAATATATGTAAACATTTTGATGAATATATTGAAAATTTTATTAATATAAAGTTAATATTTAATTTTTTTTTATAATTATTTATAATTTATTATAAAGTTTAATATTATATTATAATAACAGTTATTTTAAATCTTTAGAGATATAAATATCTATTTAGCTATAGTATTTAATATAATATTTAGATCTAGAGCTCTGAATCAGGTCAGATCAACCTGTGATCTGACGTAATATAATCTAAAACTCCAGGTTGGATAGACAAATTTTCAGGTTAACATCAAGTTGAATCAAACTTATAATCTGACCTGATAAAATTCAGGTCAACCAATCAAATTAAACAAAATAAAATATTTAAAAAAAATTTTTTTTTGATATATTTGTTTTAAAACATTTTTAATTTTATTTAATATACTTTTTTTTATATTCTAATAAAGTTGTTTATATAATTATTTTATAATTTATTATTAATTTTTTTTATCTATTCAATTACTTCAAAAAGATATTTGAACACTTTGGTTAAAGGAAATCAACTTTTGTCACATATGTAATGTTGCTTAGCAGTTTTGAAAATATATGCATAAAATTTTTATTATAATTGAATTAATGGTTGTAAAGTTATGAATGTTTTTTCTGATTGTATTATCTCATGAAATTTTTTATTTTATTTTATTTATTTAGTAACTTCAAAGAGCAATTTAAGCATCTTAGTCAAATGATGTCGATTTTAGTTACTTAAGTAATGTTATTCATTAGGTTCCAATATAAGTGAATATAAAATTTTATTATAATTAAATTAATGGTTGTAAAGTTATGCAAGTTTTCATAATTATATTATTTTACAAAAATTTTTATTTTTATTTTTTATCTGTACAGTAACTTCAAAGAGTAATTTAAGCATTTTAGTCAAAGGAAATCAACTTTATTGCATAAGTAAAGTTGTTTAGCAAATTCGAAAATATGTGTATATAAATTTTATTATAATTGGATTAATGGTTGTAAAGTTATGCATGTTTTTCGTAATTGTATTAATTGTATTATTTTACAAATATTTTTGATTTTTATTTTTTATTGATATAGTAAATTCAAAGAGCAATTTAAGTATTTTGGTCAAAGGAAATTAATTTTGGACTTGTAGGTAAAGTTGTTCAGTGAATTTGAATATATATGCATATAAAAGTTTATTATAATTGGATTAATAGTTGTAAAGTTATGAATATTTTTTATAATTGTATTATCAGTTACTTAATTTGCAGTTAAAATAATTATATTAATATCTTTTTTTTTTGAAAAATAATAAAATGTAAATATTTTTTTTATAATTTTTTTTTAAAAAAATATTAAACAAAATTAATTATTGTTTAGTTTCTTATTAATTATATTACTTTTATATTTGAATATAAATATTGTTAAACTAGTAAAACTAAAAATATTTCTTTTTTAGATAGGTCAAGTCAGATCAGATTGGGTTAAATGTATATTTAATTCAGAATAATTTTATGTCTGATCTGATCTGATCTATTCAGAACTCTATTTAGATCTCAGTTTATTTTATTATTAAAGTTGCTTATCTAAACTCATTTTTGATTTGGCTAAATGTCTAAACCTTTAAATTTTTATTAAGCTATTGATATAGTTTCACTATTTTTATAAGTTTTGATATAGTTTTACCTTTTTCTGAATTTTGCAGATTTTTTAATAAGGTTTTACTTTTCCTTAGATTATAGGATTTTACAGGCAAATTTGTTTACTTATTTATTATAAATTCTTCTTTGATTTACTTTTATAAATAATTAATATTTTAAAAAAATTTTTTTTTAAATTAATTTTTATAAATATAATATATTTTAACAAATATTATCTTTTAATTATATAATAAAAATTTAATATTTACTTAGAAATTAAAAATTTGTAATTTTTAAAAAAATTATACAGTGTTGAATAAAAGTAATTGCATTTTCATATTTTTTAAAATCCAATAACAATCCTTTCCAAAATTTTCTAGATTCAGAAGATGATACTAATCTTAATGATCTGAAAAATTATAGTTTATACAACATATAAATTAAAAATTAGATAACTACCAATCTTTATGTTTAAAAAATGCCACTTTTTCTTAATAAATGATATGAAATCATTTTTTATATCAACATTCAGTAGGATCATAATAGGATTTTAAAAAAATAGCTACTCATATTAAATGTAGTAAAACTGTGATAAAATATTTGGTTTAAAGATATTAATAAAACAAAGACTTGACTGATAATAAAGGCTAGTTATTCTCATTATAAAACTAAAATGCATTACAAATGCATTATAAAGATGGCAATAAAGGAACATAATATAACTAGTAATGAAATATAGCAGAGACTTAAAGAATGAAATGTTGAGATTAGTTCTTAGACAGTTAGGTGGCAGCTTAATGAATCTGAAGAAAAAAATTCAAATGAAATTTTGAAACTATTACTTTTAGAGAAACACTGAGTCAAATGATTGCAGTGAGTGAAAAACATCAAAATTTTAACTGGAATTGAGTTATTTTTACTAACAAAAATTCCTTTTAATTATTTCAATCAAATATTAAGGTTTGGCAATTATTGAAAGATGAAAAATATTCTATATAGTCAAGTA